TTAGGATTCGACTTTTTGAGTCTTGTTAATGTTCAAAGTTATTCTATTGGTTCTTAGATATCCTCTATCTAGTTCGAGCACACTTCTTCTGGTGTTGTCTGAAACCACCGATCTTCCATGGATTATCCTCCTTTACGGATGTTGAAGAACTTGGTTCTATTTTCTCTTATTTATGTAAGTCTTCTTCTTGACTTGGCTCCCGCAACTTCTCTTATAACCGATCCATCAAATCTTTAGAATCTAGTAGCACAACTTCTTGCAGAGCCCACCAAGATGAGGCTTCGTCAAACATAACATTTCTTAATGTGCAGCATCTTCCAGTTGTAGGATCACAACATCTTCATCCTTTTCTTTCACTGTCGTACCGATAAAAACCCTTATGGCCTTTTGTCAAACTTGCTGCATAAGTGATTAGGCACAAAGACATAACACACAAGCAAAAACTCTAAAATGGCTTACTGTTGGCTTGATATTCCACAGCTTCTGAAAGGATAACATGAACTGCAATTTTAACAGTGGTAGTTGATTGATCACGTGTGCCCTGGCACGTTCTTAGAATGAAGCATGCTTCAGCATATCTATGCAATATGATGATTCTTCCTTTTGACAATGCCATTTTGGTACAGAGTATTTGGGCACATTAGATGTCGTCGAATATTGTGAGGCTTGAGGTAGCCATAGAACTCGTTTGATGTGTATCCTCCCCCATTGTCTATGCATAGGCAACAAATCTTGCCAAGTTCTCCCTTGACTTCTTATCGCAATTGCTTGAATTAGGGTACTTTAGACTTTTCCTTTTAGAAATAAACCCAGACATACCTCGAGTAGTCGTCAATGAAAGTGGTCATGTATCACATCCTACCAATTGGTTCTTCCTTCTCGACCAAATACATCTGAGTGCACAAATACCAAAGGTTCCTTGACTATGAACTGTGACTCTTGTACTATAATTTATGTGCTTTACCATACTGGCAATGTAAAACCCCGTAAATTTAAAAATATTTTGATAAATAGTGATAAATAAGTTTTTATTATGATAAATATTATTTATTGATGAATGAGTATGTTAGTAATCAATTTGAGAATGATTAAGTACGTATATGAGAGTAAACGAGTGAAAACATGCACACCCATGCACAAACTGTAAATCAGTTATGTGTTCTGGACGGTCGACCGATCCAAGCTAATCGGTCGACCGATGATACCCAATCGAGTGACCGATGCATTATGGTCAGTTGACCGATGGGGTCATATCTAGTTTTCCCAGTTTGACTTGGTTTAGGATTTTATTGATTTGTTTCGGGTTTACCCGTATATATATAAGAATATATACCCGAAAATTCTCTTTTTCGTCATATTTTCTGAACTCTAGCAACCACCCTCTCCCCTCAAAACCCTAGATCATATTTTGGTGAAATTTTAAGAGCTTTGTGAAGCAAATATCGAGAAGAGGGCGCGATTGTCGGCGTTTGGCGAGAGAGGACTTGTTCTCTTACACCCTTGGGTTTTCCAACAGCATTTTAAGGTGAGTTTTATCTCCTCCAATCCTATCCCAGTTTTATTCGGTTTCTATTGAGTTTTATTTAGTTTTAATGGGCCTTAAAACCTAGTTTGAGTATAAAGATGGTTCTTTTAAACTATAAGATACAAAGATTTGATCTGTTATAAAACAGATTCTTTGATGTGTATTCAAGTTCTGAAATAAATTTAACATGAGAGTTTGTTAAGATTTATGGTTTTTATGCTGATTCTTACAAACATGAACATGTTAGGGTTAATAGTTTTCACTCAAATTGAATAATTATATTTCATGTTGTTATGTGAACCCTAATAATATTAAGCAAGATTTTATATCATGTTTTATCTGATTTATGTTAATTTTTAAGAGATAGAAACAAATCCACGTGTCACCCGAAACAAACTACAGGAACCTGAGGACTTGTCTTTAGTCGGTTGAACGAAGCCCGAGCATCGGCCGACCGATCAGGTCCTTTCTGCATATGCATGTTTTACACATGTACCCAGTCAACCAAGGTGTGTTTACAAGTAGGCCAGTCATTGTGAATTTGAATTTTTGTCGTCGTTGTTATATGAGTTAATTATGAACACGAGATTAGGGTCCGCACTTCGAGACACGTACTTTGCTTGATCATTGGAGTACATGAAATAGGATGCGTTCGTACGAGCATTTGGAGGTACGTAGAATAAATTGTGTTTGGTCATGTAGAGATTGACTTATATATTGCATATCATGATTGTTGGATGCTTGAGTAGGGTTAGTTGCATGTATATCGCAATGAGACCATGATAGACTACACTCAGGGTGGTTAGTTGGTATACTGCAATAAGATCGCAGTAGACTACACTCTGTTGTGCATCATTGTTTTTCAAAATAGAGTGATATGCATATTTTCGTAGGACGATTGAGTAAGGTGTGTGATGCCACAGGATATTGTGAGTACCTTACAAAAGTATCGTTGTTCCTGTTAGAAAATTGCACAGATTTCATTCATGCTCTCATGCTAGTTACTCGAGAGTAGGGTATAGTACTGAGGTTGTCAATACACGGCATAATCTATGTGAGTTTTCTTGATCGGGATATTATATTTATGTTTGCGCCAACTACCCGAGGGTAGTGTGAGGATGTTGACATAACTTGTATCGAATGAGGTTGGGTGTTGTATTGTCTTTTATTTATTGCTTGTTTTATTCTTAGGATTTTGGAGTTGGGATTTAGCAGTTCATAATTTAAGATATGGTATATACATGAGGGTTTCCTTGTTTGGATTATTTCGCTTGACGTACTAATTCTCGTGTGTGGATTTCTAAATCTCAATTTCCACTTAGTTCAGGATTGATAATTTTATATCTATATGTACTAACTTGTATTTTTTTCTATTCTCCTCACCCCTCCCCTTGGGGGCGGTGGAGATGATCTCGCTAATGTTTTGATGCTTGTTGTTTCTCCTCTTTTCAGGTAGCGAGCCAGGCGTCCGAAGAGTCGCAGGTTGACGGATTTTCAGCTTAGCATCCGTCATATATTATTAGTAGTTATTTATGCTCCACAGTAATTTATTAATTATGTTCAGACATTTAGAGTTGTATTTTATTTTGTAAAGGTTGAGTGCCTTGGTACTATTTTATTTGACTCTATATATTGGGATATTTCACATTCATTTTATATTTATCAGTTGTACTTCATTTTATTCAGTTGGAACATGATTATGTCTATTTTTAGATATCTCTCCTCTATGTCATGTCCATTGCATTATTACCGTTAATTGCCTATTTTGTACTTATACTTGTTGTTTGATTCCACTAGAGAGATATTACTGTAATGGTGAAACTTGTTATTGTATAATGTGGATTCATGGCAGGTTTGACATCCTTAGGTTCACCGTGGACTGCAGCCTCGTGTCAAACCAGGGGCGTCAAAGTTGGTATTAGATCTCTAGTTTCAGCATCCTAAGGATTATCATGTGTCGAGTCATGGAGCTAGGATAGAGTTTCCTAGGATTTATGTATAGAGTCCGCTAGAAATTCCTAGATTGAGTAAGAACGTTATATATATAACTCGAAAATTATGAAATTTTTTATGATAACTATCTTACTTGATTAAGAAGTATTTGCCTAAATGATATATGATACGATTTACCTATTGTTATATATTATGCTATCTATGCTTGAGATCTCATTTACTATGTCTAATAAGCTCTACTCCTGAACTTATAAATGTCGGTAAGAGGACGTGGTCATAGAGGAACCCGTGCTCATGGAGCTGGCAGGCTGAGCCAGAGCCCGAGTCGTAGCAGGCTCCGCAGTACTTGATTGATCTCATAGCACCGCTTGTAGCTCGGCTAGCAGCAATAGAGGAGCAAATGGCTAATCAGGTTTAGCAAGCGATACCCATTGAAGAAGAAACACCAGAAGTAACATCACCACCACCACTAGTAGCAGCAGCAATTAATAGAGCCACGGAGCAGGAGGCTTGGCTCTATTTGGTGGAGAGGTACCAGAAGATGAGGGCGCCAGAATTTTAGGGCACATCGGATTCGCTTGCAGCTCACAAGTGGAAGGAAGACGTGGAGAGTATTCTAGATATGCTTGATGTCGACCCAGTTCAGAAGTAGAGGTTAGCTACATTCAGCCTTAAGGGTGACGCAGGAGGGTGGTACTGACTTTAGTTCACTCCAGAGCAGCGTATGACACTCACCTGGGAGGACTTCATCTATTTCTTAGACGAGTAGTATGTTTCTTCAGCAGCAAAAGCCGGGAAGGAGTTGGAGCTAGCCCGGTTGGAGCAGAGAGATATGTCTGTAGCAGATTATGAGAGCAAGTTTGTGGGATTTCTCAGGTTTACGGGCATGTGAAAGACTAGAGAGCGTTAGGCTCAGATGTTTCTAATGGGACTTCGCCCGAGTTTACGCCGCTATTTAGTGTCTCGACGTTTTCACTTAGTACGGGAGGTTTCTGATGTCGCCATATCACAAGAGACCGAGACGGCTATGTTTCAGAAGGGCAAGGAAGAGAATACTAGAGCAGGACAGACTGGAGATAAGGGCAAAGGAAAGAGGCCATTTTGAGGACCTGGAGGGCCCCAGCAGCAGGGTAAGGGTTCACAGCAGCAGGGTCCCCATAAGAAGGGACCACAGCAGGATCAGAGGGTGTCGCAGCAGTCCAGATTTCAGGGCGCTTGTTATAACTTCCATAAGATTAGACATAGAGTCGTTAAGTTCCGCAGCGCACCAGCAAGAGGCTAGCAGGGCAAGGATCAGGGTCAGCAATAGCAGAACCGTGCACAGAGCCGAGGTCAGGGCTAGCAGTTGAGGCTTGAGGTACCGCCAGCAGTTCCGAAGATTGAGGGTCAGGTACGAGCTATCCAGGAGATTCCTCAGGGACAGATAGTCTTGTATATCGCAGAGCCTTCAGCGTAGCAGCCTCCAGTTTTGAGCAGAGTGTATGTAGTCATACCAGGTGATCATGGTGCGAGCGGGACCGTTATGGAAGGTATGTTCCTTGTGAACTCCTTCGCAGCTCATATCCTTTTTGATTAAGGAGCTTTGCATTCTTTCATCTCCTATGCTTTCATGATTAAGCTTCAGCTTGTAGCACATCTTTTAGATATTTCTCTGCCAGTTTCTACTTCTTTAGGAGAGATGTCCCTTTTAGAGAGTATCTGTAGGAGATGCATTATTAGCTTAGATGAGTTTGAGTTCGTTATTGATTTGATCATTTTACATATATCTAAGTTCGATGTGATTCTTAGTATGGATTGGTTATCGTTCTACTACGTTAGTATTGACTATTTTGCGAAAACAGTCAGCTTGCGAGCGTCCGATGGGACCGAGTTGGTTGTAGAGACCTCACAGGGCAACCAGTTTGTGGAGTTATTTCTGGCATACGTCGAGAAGGTGTTGTTTTGAGATTAGGGTGCAGATTTGAGCAAGACTAAAGTCTTAGAGTATTAGGATATCTTTCAGGACATACCTGGCATCGAGTTGTAGCCGGACACAGCACCAATCTCCCATGCACCTTATCGTATGGCACCTGCTAAGATGAGGGAGCTATAGATTCAGCTAGACGAGCTCATTACTTAGGGTTTTATTTGTCGGAGTCATTCTATGTGGGGAGCACCGGTCCTCTTCGTGAAGAAGAAGAAGGACGGCAGCATGCATTTGTGCATAGATTATCATGAGTTGAATAAGTTCATCATCCGGAATAGGTATCCACTACCGAGGATTAATGACTTATTCGACCAGTTGCAGGGAGTGTAGTGTTTCTTAAAGATTGATATTCATTTTGGCTATCATCAGTTATGGGTTCGGGAGATAGATATTCTCAAGACCGACTTTCTGACTCGATATGGGTCTTTTGAATTTCTTGTTATGTCATTTGGGCAAACCAATGCACTCGTAATATTTATGAATTTGATGAACCAGGTTTTTCGTCCATACTTGGACCAGTTTGTGATCATTTTCATCGACGGTATCCTCATATCTATTCGAGATCGGAGGCCGAGCATGAGCAGCATCTTCGTCTGGCATTGCAAACTTTGCAAGAGCACCAGTTGTATGCTAAATTCTGCAAGTATGAATTTTGGCTTTCAGATGTTAGATTTTTAGGTTATGTCATTAGTAAGGAGGGCATTGCAGTTGATCCAACCAAAGTGGAAGCAGTTCTTGATTGGGAGCCGCTGAAGACCGATACAGAGATTCATAGCTTTTTAGGTCTGGCCGGCTATTATAGGGAGTTTATTCAGGACTTTTTAAAGATTTCCACCTCGCTGACACGCCTTACGAAGAAGGATGTTCAGTTTGTTTAGAGCCCAGAGTGTCAGAAGGCCTTTGAGACTTTGAAGTCTAAGTTGAATACGACACCAGTATTGATCATCCCGAGCAGTGATAAGACTTTTGTTGTCTACACGGATGCATCGCTATCGGGTCTAGGAGGCATTTTGATGCAGACCCAGAGAGTAGTAGCTTACATCTCGCATTAGTTGAGGACTCATAAATAGAACTATCACACACATGACTTGGAGTTGGCAATAGTGGTCTTCGCACTGAAGACGTGGAGACATTACCTTTATGGAGTCCAATTCGAGTTATTTACCAACCATCAAAGTCTGGAGTATCTTTTCTTCCAGAAGGAACTCAACCAGAGGTAACGGCGATGGGTCGAGTTCATTAAGGATTATGAGTTCGCGCTTCAGTATCGTCTCGGGAAAGTGAACATAGTTGCGGACACGTTGAGTAGGAAGCATCGTCACGGGCTTGTAGCTTTATGGTGTTCGTTGTATCGATATCTTCTCAGCCTCAGCCAGTATGATTTTAGGCCAGAGATTAGTTGAAGCAGTGTATTTTTAGGAGCTTTAGCCGTGCAGTCATCGTGGACTGATAGAGTGGTCAGCGCCCAGTTAAGAGACTCTTAGATTCAAACGCAAAAGGGGGAGATTTCTAAAGAGCCCAAAGCTAATTAGACCATTAGAGAAGATGGAGGTCTTCGAATGAAAGGCCAACTAGTGGTGCCGGATAATCCACAGTTAAAGAAGAATTTATTTGACGAGGCACATCGCATCAGGTACACAGTGCATCCAGGCACAACCAAAATGTATAAGGACCTGAAGAGGTATTTTTGGTGGGGCAGCATGCGTAAGGATATCACGGAGTATGTAGTTAAGTGCTTTACATGTCAGCAAGTAAAGACAGAACATCAGAGACCCGTAGGAACCCTACAGCCTTTACCCATTCCAGAGTGGAAGTGAGCATATATTTCGATGAATTTTATTGCAGGATTGCTGAGGTCCAGCAAGGGGAATGATTCTATTTGGGTGATAATTGATCGGTTGACGAAGTCGACACACTTCTTGCCAGTTAAGATGACTTATACAGTAGAGACTTATGCGAGTAATTTCATCCGGGAGATAGTTCGATTACATGGAGTTCCAAAGACGATTGTATTAGATCGTGGCTTAGTTTTCACATCGTATTTCTGGAGGAGCTTCCAAAACTCTTTCTGCAGCCAGCTATCTTATAGCAGTGTATTCCACCCACAGACAGATGGTCAGACGGAGAGAGTTAATCAAGTGTTGGATGACATGTTGCAGGCTTACGTTATTAATTCTAGGGCAGCTGGGAGGACCATATTCCATTGATTGAGTTTGCATATAACAACAGTTATTAATCAACTATAGGCATAGCTCCTTATGAAGCATTGTATGAGAGGCATTATAGATCCCCTATTTGTTAGGCAGAGCCGGAGGACAGCTTACTACTTGGGTCGGAGCTCGTGAGGTAGACTACGGAGAAGGTAGCGTTGATTCGGGAGCGTATTTTTGCCACCTAAAGTTGACAAAAGAGCTACGCATATTAGATGTGATGACCATTAGAGTTCCAGGTTAGGGACTATGTTTTATTAAAAATATCACCAATAAAGGATGTTCAGCTATTTGGTAGATGGGTAAAGCTTGTCCCGAGGTACGTCGGACCATTTAGGGTCATTGAGCGTGTTGGAGCCATTTCGTATCAGCTAGATCTTCCAGCATCAATGCCGGGTGTACACGATGTTTTTCATGTTTCGATGCTCAAGAAGCATTTACGCGATGAGGAGTAGTAGAGAGTGATTGATGTATCAGACTTAGAGATTCAGACTGTTTTGACCACTATCGAGATTCCAGTTCGTATTCTTGCTAGAGAGGATAAGAAGCTTAGAAATAAGGCGATTCCTTTGGTTAAAGTTCAGTGGAACCCAAAACGAGTTGAGGAGGCTTCTTGGGAGCACAAAGAGGATATGCGTCGCGACTACCCACACTTGTTTAAAAAGGTAAAAATATTCGCTATGATTTGTTAGTGTTCATGATTTTTTGTATAGTCATATTTATATTTAATGCTGGAATGGGGATATTAACACTTAGCTCCTAATCATTCAGAACATATGATATATACATGTTGGGTTCCTTGTTTAGACTTTTTATCCGATGTACTAGTTCCGTCTAATTAGGGGTTAAGTGGGAGTATTTGCATTATAGATTGTTAAGTGTAAATATTACTTATGATTCATATCTGGAGATTAATGATAAGAGATGTATATGTGAGGGTTTCTTTGTTTGGATTATTCCCTCAACGTGCTTTTCTCGTATTATTAATCTCTAAGGTACGATTACAGAATTTCGAGGTGAAATTCCATTAAACGTGTTGTTGCATAGTGTGGGTGCATGGCAAGGTTTGACATCCTTGGGTTCACCTTGGACTGCAGCCTCGTGTGAAACCAGGGGCGTCACAAGCAACATCCACACACAGTGTCTCCTCGTATCTATACGTGTGGAAGACCCTTTAACATTGACTTCTCCATCATGATCTTGAGCATATGATAACTCACATGGCCAAGCTGAGCATGTCACAAATCAACCGTCTCATTCTTCCAAGCTATATCTATGTATGTCGATTTTGTTGACATTACATAGATAGATTCGACTCTTTGCCCCACCATGACAGGTTCTCCTGGTAGCTTCAAGTTCCAATAGACTTTTGCATCTTATAGCCCAAATACTATATAGTTTCCAGTAGCCGTTAATTGGGAAATAGATAGAAGTTCTTCATACCCTATACATGATATATATCCCATAGTTGTATCTGATTCAAGCTGTAGTGCGGTGTAAACACGGTCTTTCTAATATGTATGATAGGAATCTTGAATTTATTTGCCACCATAACTTCTCGGCCACCTCTAGACTCCTTCAAGTTGACAAGCTTCCCTTTGTCTCTCGTCATGTAGTTACAACAGCCAGAATCAATGATCCAATCTTCATTGTAGCTAAGTCCTTCTGAACTGAAATCATTGTAAATCAACAATCTCCTCTTCATGGAGTGATGCATCTTCGATGATGGCCATTAGTGGCCCCCCTTAATTTTTTCAAAAATCTAAATTTGTGTTC